GTGAAACATAATATTGATGTAGGAGTAAAAGAGTGAGTTCCCAGCATGTTCAAATACATCCACCAGCTGTCCATCTCTACCTGCTAAACTCCCCGTATAGTTAGGATATTTGTCTCCTTCTCCTCCCACCTCCTGTTCCACCTACGTTATCTTCTCCTCCTCCCCTCCAGGCGGCCACGCCAGTCTTGTCACCTGCAGCACTCTCGCCCCACCAACAGTGGTGAAGTAGCATTGAGACCCGTTTATTAGTTCAAGTGGTTTTTTTTTAAGAAAAAATTACTGAAAAATAAATTATTTTTTAATATTTAATTATATTATAAAAAAATATACAAGCCTAAATTATAATAAAAGATTTAGTATTTAGTTATATTATAAAAATAAATTAAAAATAACTTATTAATATATTTTTTAATTTTTTAAAGTAATAAAAAACAAATCTTACATATTAAAAAGTTGAATGAAAATAAAATTAAAAAAATTAATTTTATAAATTATTTTAAATAAAATAAATAATAATCAAAATAATAAAGAAGAAATCCAACAAATAAAAAAATTTAAAGATGATGAAATTAAAATAATAATTATAATTTTATAAATTATTTTAAGTAAAATAAGTAACAATAAAAAAATAATGATTAAATTTGATAAATAACAAATTTTCAATTAAAAAATGATAATAACAAAGCAAATAACAATCATAAAAATTAAGATTAAAATTAATATAAAAATCAAAATTTAAAGAATGAAATCGAACAAAATATATATCAATAAAAAATTTGAGTATCAAATTTGCTATAATCAATAAATAATATGATATTTCTAAATTTTTCATAACTTCTAGAAAATATTTTCTGTCCAAAATAAAAAAATATTTTTCTAAAAATCAAGTCAAATTTTCTTTTAACATGAAAGTATTTTAATTAACCAACTTTTTATAGTAGCAAATAAACACATTAAAAGTTTGAAAAATAATTTTTATGAAATTACTTTTCGAGTGAACAATCACCCTTTTAAATTATTTTCTTTCCTTTTCAACAACAAAAAAACTATATTGTGGTGTTAAAAATAATACTTTTTATTTTTAAAATTATTTTTAATATTAATATATTAAAATACATTAAAAATAATTTAAAATAAAAACAGTTTAAAATTTTTGAGAAGCTTGACTAAGCAAACGATCATAATTGACAAGGATAAAATCAATTCAGATCTAGATAGATTGGATTGGATTTTAATAAAAAATAATGTAAAAATTTATTATTTAAAAACTTTGATTGACTTGCTATTTAATTTATATAAAAAAAACTTAGTCAAAACTCTATTAAAATTCATTGATTTTTTTTATTTTTTTTAATAATGTTATTTTTATTTTTTATATAAAAAAAAATTAAATTGACTTTACCTAACTCACCTAATCCATTATCGAAATAAATCGTTAAAAAACCCAGTGTGCAAGCCTAAAATACACACAAAGGATTCAGTCCAAAAATCACCATAGTTATCAAGACTAATTAAGACCACATGCAAAAGAAATTAATAAATTAAGCCAAGCCAAAGCAACCAACTTTCACCAACTTAATCCTAATTAGTGATGGAGCAAAGAGATGTCGATCTTTCACAGCTTTTGATGGCATCGGAATTTTTGGATTATAGGTTACTAGAAACAAAATTATAAGGCGTGAAAGCAGCTTTGGTTGTCATATAATGAATAATATTTTATAAGAGGTCAGATTATATATATATTAGAGTTGAGAATGACTTGTTTTTTAAGGTGAAGAATTGTAATATTTTATATCAATTTTTTTTTTACAAATAGAGTATATTAAAATAATTAATACCTAATTTTACAGAATTATAATAAAATTAGAAGGCATGAAAGCTGAATTAAGCTGAATAATAATAAATAATATTTTATAAAGGAAAGTAAACCGACCTTAAAGAAGAATAGTATGTCTAAAGATTCAAAATTGATTTTTGAGCAGAAATCTAGGATTTTTTAAAAAGAAAAACTACACATTTGACAAAAATAATTTATAAATTAGGATAATTAAGAAAAAACTGACAAAACAGTATAATTTAACTGATTACATTACGAAAAACAGCACAATTAATTAAGATTCAATAGCACAACGTGTTCGAATTTGAAATCTCAAAAGTTATTCCCAAGAACATCACCCTTAAAGACATTTTTTTTTTATCTGCGTCAAAATTTGGAAACGAAGTTGCTAATTTTTCTTAAAGATCGCACCATTTTCAAAAATCTAAATCCAAATTTTAATTTTAATTTTTTTTTTTATGATTTAAGGATTAGGCCAAATTCTTAAAGGTTGAACAACTTCTAATAATACAATTTATTCCCTTTTGATATATTATGATTTTTGCAGTAATATTATTATTGAAGGTATTGTTAAAGAGTGTGATTAAAGTTGTTTTTTATTTAAAAATATATCATAATAATTTTTTTTTTATTTTTATAAATTTATACACCAAGCACATCAAAACAATAAAAAAATTAAATCTTTATAAAAAACCGTTTGAACAGCAACTTCCCACCATACTGCTTTGCGAGTTTTTATCCTCATATGTGCTATTTGAGGAAAAAACAGAAAAAGAACAACTCAAAATCTACACCTCAATTTGTAGAAAGTATAATGAAAGATCGTATTCATCCTCACCGACAAAATAGTTGCCACCTCGTGAGACTGTCTTTACGAAAGGACCCATGATAAGGCCTTTCGATCTTGTCTTGTTCATGGCATATCTGCGTCTGTGGGTGATGAGTTGGATTTCTCATTTGCAGACACTGTAGAAGATGAAATGGACTGCTGCAACAACAATCCTTCTCCATTCGTTGCAGATACTATTTGGAGGTTTGCAGAACATGGTGTTCACCCTTCCCAGAGCTTATGAATTATACACAGAAACTATTTTAACCTATAGTAGTTGTATAGCACAAACTTTCCAAGATGAATATTCAAAATAAAATGTGATTCTTCAAGAGGGTAAAAAGAAGAGATGAAGGGGGAGGAGAAATGAAGGACCGTGTTAACTCAGTTTAATGAAGAAGTCTTAAATTATTACAGGTTTTTCTTTATAATTCATTTAATATTCAAAGTGTTCTTGTGTTTTTTCCATCTCCTAATATTTTTTTTTCACATTTAGATAATTTATTTTATATATTTTTTTAACCCACAAAACACAAAATACTTCAAAAATTAACTATTATTACAATCCCAAACTTATAATATTTGATTTTTTTCCTTGTAAAAGATTCTTATATTAATTAAAAATATTCACCTCCCTCAATTATTATAATCATCATGGTTGGTCTCTTTCAAAATCGTGTTTCACCGTGCAGTAGGGTTTGTTTCTAAAATATTTTTTATTAGAAAATATATTAAAATAATATTAAAACATCAAATCAATCATTTAAAAAATTAATTGTAACAAAAAAAAAGCTTTTGCCCCCCTCCTTCGGGCGGTCAAGGCTTTGAAAAGACCAAGAAAGCATGCAGTAACATCAGCAAATTATTATTGATCCATCATCATTAGCTCGGACTTTAACCTTACACGTGGTGGTAAATGATATGTTGAGGGGAATCATGTCTGAATATTTTTCTAGCAAAATGATGAATCTTTTACACGTGTTCTTGGCTCTGTCTTTAATTTTCTGTGGAAAGATACCTTCAGAAACAGTAGAACGAAAAAAAATCAGAAGCAAGATGAATCTGGCAGCCATGATATGGACCTTTTATTCCCCATTTATACAGAACAGTAACCAAAGATTTACGAGTTTTTTTTAGATTGTAGTGTAGAGTATTTTTTTTATTTAAAAATATATTAAAATAATATTTTTTATTAATTTTTAACAGCACATCAAAAACCACTTAAAAATATTAATTTTTTTAAGGTTCTAAATAATTTTAATGTGTTTATATTAAAAATAATTTTTATAAAATAAAAAATAATATTTTAATATATTTTTAAATAAAATATAGTTAAAAAAACAACTATTATAGAAAAATATTTCACTAGTAACCAGATCATACTAATCAAAAGTTTTAATTACTATTTGATAAGAGGTGTATTTTTGTCGCACACCAATCATTAAACTTTGCCAAATGTTGTAAGAAAAATCTTAATCTTAAATTGTAATGAAATCCAAGACACCGGTGAATCCTATGGTAAATCAAGAATTTATGAAGCTGCATTGTTTTGATGAAATAAATTTTAGAAGTTAAATAGAATTTATTAATCTAATATTAGTTTATCTAAAATTTATTTTCAATACATAATTCTTGAAAGCAAAATTTACATGTTTTTTTTTATCATGCCATAAAGATAATTATGGAATATTGGATTCAAGTTTGATAAAAAAATAAAAATATTAAATGAAGTCGTTATAAAGTAGCCGTATATATGGTTGGATTACCTTCCTTTTAGAAAGAAATAATACTTATTGGGTATTTTAATTTGACATTTTCTAAATATACTAAAAAAAACTTAATTATTACCGTAATAATAAAACTAAAAACAAATACTTACCTAAATTATATAATTCTTTTTTGAGTGTCCTCTATAATAGAAAAGTTTTTTTTTCTTTCTCAATTATAAATAAAATTTTCATAAAAAATTACATAAAAATGCTTCCAATAAATAAAATTTATCTTATTCTTCTTATTTGTAATTATCAAAAATTTCTTATTTCTAATTATCAAAAATTTGAACAAAAAATGAAGAATAGAATAAGACTTTTAAAATTTTTATTTAATGCAATTATAGTGGATTTCAAGAATAAAACTAGAATAAGACTTCTAAAATTTTTATTTGATGCAATTATAGTGGATTTCAAGAATAAAAAAATTGTAAATAAATCTACAAAAATAAAAAAAAAATTAAGTAAACAAGAGTTTATTAAAAATAAATTTTAGAACTCAGTAGCTGAAAACTTGAAGGGTGGAATAAATTAATTATTGCTATTCAGTGAATACAGAACTCAGTAACTGAAAACTCGAACAATTTTCAAGAACTAATAACTGGACGGATCATCAACTTCCACTTCAACGCAGAACCAAAACCATGGTCAGTTACCATAAATTTCTTTACAGGAGAAAATCTTGATTCCTTCTGTAAGAAAATAAATTCAAAGTCGAATACAATGAGGGGGAAACAAAGAATTACCGTACTATACGCAAATATATATATTAGTTATCATTAACAGGAAAAGCTGTTGCGCCTTTTGAGCTCAACAACGATCACACTGATGTTATCTTTGCTGCCCCGAGCCATTGCTAGCTCGGCTAGCACCGCTGCAGCCTCTGCTGCGCGACAACTCTCGCTCACAACTCCCTGGGACTTCCTCCTCATCCGGCCATGCAGGCATCTCTTTATAATCTGGCATGCGAATTCGTTGGAGATGACATCCCAGAGGCCATCACTGGCTAGGACGAGGAATTCATCATTTTCAGTTCGCTTATTCACGGTGACTTCTGGTTTGGAGGATACAAATGGTTTGAGATACTGATCACCTGCACCAGGATGTTAAAGCAATGTAATTAAGGAAAAGGATATATTTTATTCATGAAATTCAATCTCTTAATCCTGCTTGTGCTATATATCTTTTCAATATGACCTAACGACAGCAACTCTCAAGGATGGTTAACAGCAGGTTACTAGTGATCAACGTGATCTGGTGGTTGCCCTAGTTGTAAGGCAGCACAGGTCTAGCTACTAGTCCCCCATTACTAAATTATCTTGAGGCTCCGATTGTTTTTGTGATGCGGTCTGCATTTTATGTCAATCATAAATTTAAAAATATTCGATACTCTCTTGAAACCTTGATAATTCATAAGACTTTACAAATCCCATGTTTTCCCAATAATTGACCTAGTAGTGATATTGGTTTATTAAGGTGGTCAGCAGGTTTGCTCTCCAACGAATCAAATCCAAATGGAGGCTGTAAACAAGAGAATCACTCATGATTCAAATTCAATTGGAAGCTTTAGGAAAGAAAATTCATCGTAAACGAATAGGTTTAATTGTGAGTGATCTGTTCGAAATTTGATACAATATAATTTTTCGCGAACCATACAAGTGAGGAAGGAACTAGACTTAAGCATGTATGGAGAAGCCAGCAAAGAAGAAACATGAGAGAACAAGATGATCTAGCTTCTGCCTTGTAATAATTGATGGAAGTTTCACATACCTATAGACCTGGAAGTGGCAAGAACTCCTAGAACACGGTGTCCGTTCCAGTTTATAACCCTTCCACCTGCAGCTTCAACTCTCTCCAACTCATCAGGTCTGTCAGGCTTCGCAAAAAAGAGGTCTCAATAAATTATTCATCTTAAACATTAAAAGAACGAGAGAGAATACACCTTTAGAAAACAATGGTCATATAGCATAATTTGTTCAAACTTTATATTTTCCATTTTTCCCTTTTATATTTTATTAAACGATCCCTTTTAAGATCTGTAGCTTGGAAGCTCAACCTCATAAGGAGTGGATTAATTCTGATTGCTTTTCCCCAAATTATTTGCAGTAACTGTGTCCAGTTCAGGGGAAAATTAGCACCGCAGGTATCATCACTGTCTTCATATTTTACAATATTTTGTTGAGTAAAACATTCTTTATAGTTTCATTTTCTTTTTAAAATCTTAACAGGACACTGAGCAAAGATTATAGGGTGACCATCTGATGATCAAAACATCCTATATAATATTACCAAATGATTTTATTGGTAATTAAACAACACAACCTAAATAGAAATCTCATGAACCTTCCTTTTCTATGGTAATTAAAAAATAGAAATCTCATGAACCTTCCTTTTCTTTTGATCTTGATTAGGTTAACAAGCACGAATTTCATATCTGAGAATAAAATTCCGGAAAATCCCAGAAGATTTTATTGTTCTACACTTGAAAAAAATAGATCAAAGAGTTACAAGAAGGGTTTTTTTAATTAAAATATTATTTTAAAAACTTTTTATCTCCTATTTCTTTTTTTCTTTTTTATCCGTCTCTCCTATACCATAAAATATCTCAGTTTCAGCTTGAGCGCGAAGAATTTTCATAAACTTCCTCTATTTTTCCCACTTCAATTTTTTCAGGATACTTCTCAACTTTAAATTGAAATCAATTGATTGAGAATTAAGTCATAAAACTAGCAAATAGCTTCACTCAATTAAGAGATTGATGGTCTAAATCCAAAATGAAGGTGGGAACAAAAAAAAAAAAAAACACTCGATCGATTTCAACAAACCCAAAAATCATTACCTTATGATCAACTGACAATGGCATGGCAACCCCACCTCTACAAATCACAGCTCTAGAATCCCCACAATTAGCCACCACCACCTCCTCCTTCCCCACCACCGCAACAACAGCCGTAGACCCAATCATCTTATCCTTCACCACCTCCTCATCCATCTTTCTAAAACACTCCTCCATCACCTTCTCCCACTCCACACCACCACCCCCTTCCTTCCCCTCCATTATCTCCTCCACAAGAACTCTATGCAACCTCTCTTTACAGGCCTCCGCTACAAGAGCTCCACCATGTCCATCATAAACACCAAAAAAATCATACTTCTTTTCACCTTCATTAAAAATCAAAAACCCCAACTCCACCTTCAGTGTATCCTCCATCTCTTTCCTCCCCCCTATAACAGACACCGACCCATATGATAAAACTACCTCATCTTGCAAAACAACATCATTCCTCGGCGGTGTTAACGATATTGATATCTCCTTTGAACCACCATCATCACTAGCTTTTGCACCAAAAATTCCTCCTGATTTTTTCTCTTCACCACACAAATCACCGCTCTTCCTCTCAATGCCTTCATCCCCACCGGAGATGGTGACATGAGATTTATTATTTTCACACGTATACTTCAATCGTCGGATTTTTAATCTTCTCCGACGAGAATTCAACGTCTTGATCACAGTGAGCTGATCCATCCTCCTTATCAAAGAGTCTCCAAGCTGTCGCAAACAAACATGTAAAGCAAATCAAATCAAATCTCAAGTGTCGAGAACCAAAACAATCACAAAAAAGCAAATATCTTGGTGCCAACCTCTTCATTCTGCATGAAAGAAGTAAAAATTTCGTGGTAGAAGAGGAAAAGCACAGGAGCTAAATGGGAATATAAAACAAATAGGCAATGATGGTCATGTTAAAGCAGATGAAGGGTAGCCGTTGATTGTTCTTTGGTGCACTTGTACACTGCCACATGGGGTGAACAAAAGCCACTAATTTGGATTTGTTTAGGGGAGACGTGGACGGAAGAGATGGATTAAGGGGTACGTGGAGGATGGATCTGGGTGTTGGGGCCCAAGTGTGGAAATCTAGAAGTTATTACGTGGCGTCTCGATGTGCTTAAAGTAGTAAAAGTCAGGCTTTGATGTGTTTGGATCTGACAAGGAAGATTTTTGACTTGGAAACGAAAAGGATTCTTAAGACACGTGTTTAATGATGCTGCGTCGCGTGTCCGATGACAGCGGCTTTGGCCATCTTTTGTGTCGGGTGTTAAATTCGAGTTTTTATTTTAAAATTAGCACTTTTATTTTTTATTTTATTCTTTTTCCACACTCAAAAATATTATAGACAGTAACACGTTTGGTGAAAAACGCGAGTATCAAAGTTGGAAAGTGCAGCTTGAAAAAAGAATAAGCATACAGATGGGTTGCCGAAGCTTCAAGAGAGAGAAAAGAAAAGAAAAGAAATAATTATTTTTATTTTCCTTAAAATAGTTTGATGGATGAGGAAATAATAAGAAAGTGATTGTATTCATGCCACATTGATCTTTAATTTTTTTTATTGGGTATTAAAAATATTTAACTTATTTTTTAATTAATATGGTTATCTGGATTAATTTACAACTATTATTATTAATTTCACAATTTATTAAATATCTTACAAGTTTAATAAACATATATATGATGAAAATAATAAATATACATAATAAAACTTAAATTCACATAAAAAAATAAAATTAGTTAGACTAACACCTCAAAGTCCAGCCCATTTTACTTCCAGCCAAGGGGGTGTTGAAATGAAGTGAATGCAAAGCATAGATTAAGTATAAATATGAAAGTAAAATACAATAGACCAATATTATCGAATTAAAACTCAAGTATCCTATTACATAACTTCTTTATTTATGTAATTTTTTTTAATGAGATTTAAATAAAGAAAATTTATTAAATTCATCCGGGAGTAATAAATGAATGTCTATTGTTTTAAAAAATATTTAATTTCTATTAATGTTAGATTGTTGTAATAATAATAATTTAATAAGATAATATGTGATATTATAATAATAATTAATTTTTAAAATATTTTTTACTTAAAAATATCCCAAAATATTAATTAATTTAAATTATTTTTAATATTAATACATCAAAATTATTATTATTATCATAACTTAATTTTAAATTTTTTAAAAAATATATAAATAATAAAATAAAAAATAAAAAATTAAAAAATTAAATTAAAACAACATAAATTAAAAGTTTAAGTACTAATAAAAATTAAATTATAAATTTAAAAATCAATTTGACTAAAAATTAAAAGAATTAATAAATTTAAAAATTTAATTAAACTTTAATCTAATTAATTAATACAATAAAAACTTAATTAAAGAAATAGTAAATTTTTGTGTTGATTTGAGTTGAAATTACAAGAAATTAATATCTAAGAACCAAAATGAATAAGTAAGGGGTACTTGGGGAGTTTAATTGATTTTATCAAGAGTAATTTGAAAAACAAAAAAGTTGAAAAATCGTTTGAATTGATTAAATTGAAAAGCAATGACTGTTTTGTAAATGATGCTGAAATCAAAGATCAGGGATCAAATTGGAAATAACCATTTTAGTCGAAAACGGCGCCGTTTAACTTCCGATTCAACAGGAAACTCACGTCTCTACTCCACCAACAGATGGCATCCCCCACGTTCCGCGGGGGGGCGGGCCGGGGGGAACGACCACCGCAGGGCAGAGAACGAAAAGAAAATAAACCCAGAAAAACGAACAAGACAGAAGAGGACCAGGGGAGCAATAGACACGGACGAGCCAAATACAAAAGGGGGAGAAAAACGAAAACACAGAGACAAGGGAAGCCAGAGAACAACACAGGGGTGAGAGGAACACAGACGCGAAGGAGGGGAGAAAACCCACGAACAGAAAAATACAAAGAAAAAGACATTACAGAGAGAGAGAGACAGACACAGGAACGAAGAAAAACAAAGGAAGAACAAGGGAAGGCGAAGAGGAAAACAAGACACAGAGGATACAGCGTTCCGTCAGCCTGCGCACCATCATCGGCTTCTTCTCCAGCAGGGCCAGGTAAGTCTCTCCGCACTCTTTCCCCGTCTTGCAATTTAATTCACTTGTCATAGACAATTTTAATTCACCTCCTATTGTTTGTGCACGTGCCTGCAGTGATCGGCCGGGCCGGTTAAGTACAGCTTAAAAAAAAAATAATTACGTATGCATTTTAATTTTTTTATTAATTTATTCACGGAATTATAAATACAAGATATTTTTTTTAGCTACATAATATTTAATTATATTAAAATTTTATTATTAAAAACAAAAATTTATAAATAATTTGTTATGGATTAAGAAATATATTTTAACTTTGTTAAAAAATAAAAAATGATCATAGGATTGAAAATAATAAAATTTTATTTTGATCCTTAATTTATAGAATTTATAATTTCATCCTTTAATTTTTAAAAAATTATAATTTAAATCTTAAAATGTCTTTTAGAATTCTAAATAATATTTTTAGAAAGAGGTTAAAGATAATGAATTTTTATTTAATCCTTATAAAACTGGGGTGAATTTATAAATATATTATGAAAAAAAAATATTTTTAATTTTTTAACTATTTTAATGAACGTCCTTTAAATTTTTCAAATCAATTTAATCATTAGAGTGAACTTCTAACCTTAGCATCAACTTTTATGCATGACCGGCATTGCCTCTTGCGTTTCTTGGGATGGAAGAAGACTATTGCTTATCTGGTCCTTGGAAAAGTGACAAACTTGACTGTAACTTATCCCTAGTCTCTGATCACTTGCTAACGCAACAGATTTGAGCTCTGGCTTTTCCTAGCAACTTCGCACCACAACTAGGCTTTTCCTAGTCTCATGTTGATCGCTCCCACTTTTAAACTACCTTAATTATTTCTAATTTCAATAGGAAATGTATATTTTTGATTTGATTACGACTGTTTGAAAGACTACAAATTATTATTAAAATAAAGTTATTCTTGATTTTTTTTCTCTAATTCTTGTAACTGTTGTGATTCTCTCCTCATCAAACTAAAAATTTCAATTTTTGATCTTAACTTTTTAAATTCAAGAAAAGTAAAAGTAGGAAGTAAATAGTTTTCTCTCGTGTTATTTTTTATTATGATTTATTTCTAGAAAGATAAGAAAAGAAATCATGATTTATAAAAAATTAAAATTTATGTTGTTAAAATTGATTCATGATTATTATGAGTTTAAGGTTAAGTAATAAATTTTTGAGGTATTTTTAGAAATAAAAATTTATAAAATGATTTGTTATAGGTTAAGAAATATGTTTCAACTTTCTTGGAAAATAAAAAATGATCTCGAGGTAAAAAATAATAAAATTTTATTTGAATCTTTCATTTATAAAATTTATAGTTTAGTTTCTAAATTTGAGTCTTAAAACATATTTTAGAATTCTAGGCAATATTTTTATGTTGTTAAAAATGATAAATCTTAATTTAATAATTAATTAATTTAATTTTTATTTATTCTCTATAAAATTCAAGTTAATTCAATACACCACAGTTTTAATATTAAAAAAAATTATTTTAAATGTCGGTATAAAATTCAGGTTAATTCAATACACCACAGTTCTAATATTAAAAAAAAATTATTTTAAATTTTTTAACCGTTTTAATAGACGTGCTTTAAATCTTCCTTCATTCCATGTAGAGCCAATATGGTAAGAATGGGGCTTGACTTCTAACCGTAGCATCAACTTTTATGCATGACCGGCATTACCAGTTGCATTTCTCGGGATGGAAGAAGACTTGCTTATCTGGTGCTTCGAAAAGTGACAAACTTGACTGTAACTTATCCCTAGTCTTTGATTACTTGCTAACGCGACAGATTTGAGCTCTGGCTTTTCCTAGCAACTTCGCACCACAACATAAAGACCCCACACGGAAAAAACATAAAGGAACCTAGCAACATCAGATTGGCCAAGTCCTTGAAATGTTTTCCACGGCTCAAGTCAATGGAGTAAACTATGCAGAAATTACTCAAGAGAGCCAAGCCCCAAATTACGTTTTCACGATAACATCATTTGCAGGACAGTGAAGCTCATAAAAATTAAGCCTTTGGAAATGGATCTCTCTGTAGTTTGCTTGTTGATGCTGGTCCTTGTATGTCATGGAGCTGGCCATAACGATACGTTCCAAGAAGCAAAGTGTAAGAAGCATGGTCCGGCCATAAGATTTCCATTCAGACTCGACAAGCAGACAGAGGACTGTGGCTATGATCCTCGGTTTGTTCTATCTTGCAATGAAAGGAACGAAACATTGTTGCAGCTACCATCTTCTGTGACGCTCAACATCAAGAAAATTGACTATAAATTACGGTTAATCATTGCAGCTGATCCAGATAACTGCTTCCAAAGACAGCTTAGAAACTTCAGTTTATCTAAATCTCCTTTCAAATTTGCAGGCCAGTACCGGGATGATTATGCCCTTTTCAACTGTACATCAAAGAATGGAGATTCTTATGGGCGGATACCTTGCCTTGGTGTTCCTGGATATGATATCTATGCCTATAGTTCTAATGATTTCATCGGTGATACAGACCTGACTTCTTGTACCAAGATGTATAATGTTACATCAATTCCATCGGAAATGATTGACGGTGATAATATTCTTCACTTGAATTGGTCAGAACCAGCAGCATGTGTCGGTTGTGAAGAACAAGGCAAGCTCTGCGGATGGAAGACTAACAATACTAAGCTTAAAACTGAATGCTATAAGAAGCCTAAATCAAATGAAGGTACGGTCTGTATTAGATTCTGCTTTAGTTTTCTGCAGCCAATCTAATTCCTTGTGCTTAATTTGGAACTATTGGATGACTCTTTAGTTAAGAAAATCAAATATTTTCACGAGTTC